CGGGGAAGGAGTCTTGTTTGGTGTACTGACTTGGAGGAGAAACCGGTCTCCCGTAGACGGACGGACTTGCGGCTATGATCTGGCGCTTTTGCTTTTGAACAGCTCAAACAAAATAAATCAATAATTATCTGCCATGAAATCAGTCCTGCCGTGCCTGGCTGGTGTCAATTCCCATCTAGTTTCTTGTTCGTCAAAATGTCAGGGCATTGGGAGCAATTCTAGCTAAAAAAGAAAATGAGTCGGGTATTTTGGCCTCCTAATAACCAACCGGGCAGACAGACCACTATCTAATTCCGTTTTTACCCCCTCTATTTGTTCGCGCACCGCATTTCGTACACCTTTTGTATTTATACAATAATCTTTCTTTGTTCATACTGGTCCTCGGCTATACCACGCGATAGAGCGCTAATAAGTCTTCTCTCTGTTGTCCCCTCCCCCCCCAGACAACATGCTTCCTAGGCACACGTCGCATGGTAAAAGATAAACTGGACAGCTTTGCGATGGCTAGCTTTTGTTTATTCTTACAACCCCGATATGTACGTCGGGATCAAGAGCGGTGAATTAGGTCATGGCTTCTTGGGCGAGCCCGGGGACCACGCCTGGGGCTGCCACGCCTCGCTGGGCCCGCCGCGGGCTTTCTTCCACGGGTCCGGGCCCGGTGCCGCTGCCGCCGCCGCTGCCGGCTTGGCGTCTTGCTGCATCTCTCGCCACGTGTCTTGCCTGGGCGGCGGCGCAGTCTCGCAGGCGCTGCTATCTACCGGCGTACCGGTAGTAGCAGGCTCTTTAGGCTCTGGCTGCTGCTGCTGCTGCTGTTCTTGGTGCGGCGCGGCTACCGGCGGGCGCGGCGAGAAGGCGGGCAGCGGAGCCTGGCGGCGCGGCAGGGCGTCTATCAAGCTCGGCTTGGCGGCCCAGCGGGCGTTGGCCTGGGCGGCAAGGACCTTCATGCGGGCCTGGCGGGCGACGTCGCCGCGCTGCTCCGTGAGAGAGGGCGGGTCGTGGCGCGTGTGCCGCAGCCACTGGTGCCACAGCGGCGGCACCTTGACGTCGCCGAGGTGCGTGCCGGACGGGTACTGCACGATGCGCCGCCACCGCCCGTCCTCGGCCACGCGCGCCCCGCGGTTGCGGAACTCCCAGTACGTGTTGCCTTGCAGGTCGAGGCCTGGAGTGTCGGTGTCAGTTGTCTCATTTTTATTATATGTCGGGACGGGCGTTGTCACTGACCGACCAGAAACTGTCTCCGCCACGGCAGCCGCAGCTTCTTCCACTTGCACCACGCCCGGAAAAACGGCGTGATTTCCTTGCCCGCCATGGGCAGTGAGGGCGGAGTGTTTGTAAGTTCAAGAGGGGCTAATTTATGAAGTTGCGTGAATGTGTTGTGAGTTGGTCAGTGATCAATCTCATTTTCACTTTCTAGACTTTGAGTTATTAGTGACGTTGGTCTGCGTGTCTGGACTGTGAAATGATAGGATACAGTGCAGTTTTGTAATTCAGAGCTTCACTTGGCACTGTGCTTAGCAAGATGCTTGCAGCCACCCCAGCCATGCGACCCACTTCAGCCTCTGCGTCACTGCCGTGGCTCAGCGGGTAGCGGTATTTTGCCAGGAGGGGTGGGCGGGCAGTGGGAGGGGCCAGGCTGCGTCAGTGGAATTAGGTTCCATTGCGAAGAGCGACGGGAACGCAGGGAGGGAGAACCTGGACGGGAACAACCCGACTTGAGCAGGATGCCGGCGCTGAAGAATACCTACCTATCTACGAATACTTGCGGGCAACCACACTGTTTTACGATACTCGACGCTATCGCAGCAGCGCACTGTCATTGTCTGTCTCGCGCTTCCTTTGGCAGCCCTTCGAAAAGCGCTTGAGCCGGGCACCCACCAGCTTCGTGCCGATCCTGCCTTGCCTTGCCTTGCCTTGCCTTGCCTTGCCTTGCTTGCTAACCCCCCATCGCCGACCGACGACCTGAACCCGACAAGAACCTACATCCATTGCGCTATTCCTTACATCGTGCTGCCTGACCACCACACCAGGTTATACACAATCAATCGCAGCAGTAAACCTCACAGAGGTTATACTCCCTCACACACACGAGTATCCCACGACAGCAGAGGCCGCAACTCACCACCCCACCCCATTGGCACACACACCACACCGCAGGCCGAGAAAGCTCGCAACCATGGCGTCGGTCTCGTCCTTGGACAAGGACCTGCGCAAGATGCGCCTGGACAAATACACTCCGGCCGCGGCAAACGAGGTTCGCTCGTGGATCGAAGATGTTCTGGGCGAGCCCTTGCGTGCCGATGATCTGCTCGACGGCCTCAAAGACGGGGTTGCCCTGTGCAAGTGAGTCGCCTCCTTGCTCCCCGCGCCTCTATCCTCTCTTGTCATATGGCACATCAGTACTGACTCTGGAACCCGCCCCTAGACTCGTCAACCTTGCCGTTGGGCCACCGGGCATCAAGTTCAAGCAGTCGGCCATGCCCTTCGTCCAGATGGAGAACATATCGCACTTCCTGCGCTACTGCCAGGCCCCGCCCCTCGACCTCCAGCAACACGACACGTTCCTAACCGTCGATCTCTTTGAGAAAAAGGACCCTGCCCAGGTCCTCCAGTGTCTTATAGCTTTCAGCCGCGCTGCCAACAGCGCCAACCCCTCCGTCTTCCCCGTGTCAATCGGTTCCCGCAGCGGGGGCGGTGTAATGAGCCCCCAGTCCACCGGCCCTTCTACGCCTACCGGTCTTCGGGGCCGCGGCATCTCCAGTGCTAGCAACGCATCCTCCTCGTTCTACGGGAGAACCCCCGTGCTAGCCTCATCCAAGACTGGTGATTCGGGCTCAGGTCGATGGAGTCCCACCAAATCCCCAACTCAGAACGGCTCTACTTCGCCTGCCAATGTCAGTAGCTGGAGCAGGAAGGAGCACGAGGGCGCCACATCACCCGCCTGGAATATTGCGCAATACGGATACATGGGCGGCGCGAGCCAAGGCAACCTTGGCGTCGCCTTTGGCGGCCGTCGCCAGATCACCAGCGCTGGTCCCAGCGTCCCCAACATGGCCGAGAAGGAGCGGAGGAGAAAGGAAGAGGAGGCCGAGGCTGAGCGCCAGCGCCAGCAGATGGAGGAGGAGAACCGCCGGCGGAGAGCCGAGCGCGAGGCCGAGGAGGAGCGGGCGCGCCTGGAAGAGGAGCGCCTGTGGGAAGAGAAGGCGAACCAGCTGAGAGAACAGGAGCGCAAGAGGATAGAGGAGGAGAAGCAGCGCTGGGAGGAAGAGGAGCGCCAGTGGAAGCTAACCGAGGAGAAGAGGCGCAAGGAGGAAGAGGAGGCCGAGGCCCGGCTGCGAGACGACCGTCAACGGGCCAGAGCCAAGAGCGACGCCAAGTTGCGCGGCCAGTTTCTCAGCCAGTACCAGGCCGAGCAGCAGGAACCAAAACAGGACAACGGCTATAGCAGCCGCATCAAAGAGCTGGAGAAGGAGCTCGAGCAGGCCCGCCAACGAGAGGCCGACTACGAGCGAGAGCGCCAAGACCGCTCACGCCGACGAGATCCCGTAGGCGACGACGCCAAGTCTCGCACCCGGTCACGCAGCCGGCCTGCGCGGCCGGTCAGCAGGCAGGACTCGTGGAGTGTTCGTGACGAGCGCGAGTTCCTGCAAAGCCAGTGGGATACCCAGCAGCAGCAGGATGCCCAAGACGCTCTAGCAGCTGCGCCGCCTCCACCGCTCCCCTCTCGCTCTCCACGGCCGCTGCCCGACCCGGCTACGGCGGCCCTCCCGCCTGCCAAGGTTAGAACTCACAGGACAGGCGGAGATGGGCCACCGGAAATTCCTGTCCGGAAACACCACACAGGCTCACGGCCGCTCCCCGACCCGGCCGCATACGCTATGGCAAGTCCTCCCCCACCGCAACAGCCGCCGCGGTACCAACAACAACAGCAGCAGCAGCAGCAGCAGCAGCAGCCCCCGGCACTGCCCCCACAAAAGCTACAGCCTCAAAAATCCGGAGGCGCCAACAAGTCTCGCACGGAGCGGTATCTAGCATCCAACCCCGCGCCCGAGCCGCCGGCGCAGCAGACGACGTACTCGCGGGAGGCGCTGATCGGGTCGGTGGCGGAGCGCGAAGCCGAGGACCGGCGGCGGGCGGCGGCGCAGAAGCAGACCAAGGCGATGGGGTGGGCGTCCAAGTCGCTGCTGGAACGCGAGATGGAGCAGGAGCGGCAGCGGCAGCGCGAGTGGGAGGAGTCGCAGAAGGAGACGGCCAAGGCGGCCCGCCCGGCTGACGGCGGCGTCGACGGCATCGGTGGCGGCATCGGCGGCCGCTGGGACGTCGGCCAGTTCACGGGCTACACGGGCGGCGACAGCCAGAACAAGGGCGCCCAGGGCATCGGTGCGGGGAGGCGCCAGATCGTCGGGCCCAGGCCGCTTCCGAATCCCGGGAGCGGCGGTGGCGGGCGGTGAAAGGGGGTGTTGATGTTTATTGAGTGGTTTAGATTTATCATCAAGTTTTATTTCCCGGGTTTGAATATATATATTATATATACCTTTTCTGTCCTCTTTCTTCCCCGTAGCGGATGTTCTCGTTCCAGGCATGTGCACATCCATCGGGACCAACGAGAAACGATCAGTGTTAAACGACATTGTATGTACTGTACCTACCGCCATCCCACGCAAAGAAAAGATCAAAGTTGGCCTCCCTTGAACGCCTTCGTCGGCGTTCGCCAAGCACAGCAATACTGGCACGGTAGCTTACGCGATTCTCGATCCCGCCAAGCCAGCTCCTCCTCCGCGCGCCGCCGAGACACGTCACGCTTCTGCCAGCGCATCGCCGTAGCAGAACATGAACGGGAAAGAAAATAAGAATTGAGTTACGTATACAGTACAAAAAAAGAAGCTTAATATAATAATGGTTTTTTTGCGACATTAGATGAAATAATGTTTCCTACTATGAGACTGCCGCCCCAAAACTCCTCTTCCGAGCGAGTCGGCAAAAGTAAGAAAATGGAAAGATTCCGACATTGGCCTGATTTGAACAGACGCCTCCGAAGAGATTAGATTTCGAGTCTAACGCATTAGACCACTCTGCCACAATGCCTAGTGTTTTTTTTGATACATTAGTCAGCATGCTATTACTGCTATGAAGGGAAGGGGGTGTGGATATTTTCGGTTCCTCCCTCTATGTACAGGGGCCGAGAGCTCGGGTCTGATCTTGGGTGTAGATAATTAGGTAGGTAGGTAGGTAGGTAATCAAGGGTTGAGTCGAGTCTTTCCTCTTTCTTTCCTTCTATCCTTTTCTCTATTTCCCTCTCCTCCTCTTTAGACAACTCAGACAATATGTATATCCGGCCATGACAAAAAAAAAAGCCCCTCACTCCCCAGATCCCGTCCCTTCGTTCAGGGGTTATGACATATGCCTCGGAGTAAATACATAAAATACACAGATGAAAAAAAAAAAAAAATAGACAAACCCCCCACCCACCCCCCAAGTATCATAATCCAGACATGCTAGCATACCACAAAGCAAAGCCAGAAGCTAGACGGAAAACTTCCCCCCCAAAAGCGCCCCATCCGGCTCTCCCTGCGCACTCCCCCGTCCCCATATCCCTCGTTTCCCACCAAACCCTCTCTTCCCCCCGACCTCGGCCCCGGCCCCGACCCCGGCCTCAAAACCCGGACGCGACTCCGACTCCGACGACAGCACCGACCAGCGCATGCTCGTGAGGTTGCGGCGGAGCTCCTTCAGCGTGTCGGGAATCCGCCGGCTGCCCTTGCTGTTCTTGCGGAAGCCGAGCCAGCCGAGCACGAGCGTGGCGGACCCGAACACGCCCCCCACCACCGCGCCGACGATGGTCGCGATACTTGCCGCGCGCGACAGCTCCCCCGGACTGCTGCCGCCACTGGTGCTGGAGCTGCTGCTGGTTCCGGAGCTGCTGCTCCCTGGCGGGGATCCGCTGGTGCTTGCCGAGGATGTGTTGCTGGGGTCCGTGGTTGTCGGGCTTGCTGTCTGCTGCGAGCGGGCGGGGTCCTTTGTGGGTGATGTTGTAGAGGCAGACGTGGGCGTGGTCTCGGTGGTGTTGTTTGCGGCCGGCGAGGCGGGCGGGCCGGGGCTGCCGCCGGCGGGCGGCTTGGCGGGGGCCGAGGTGGCGGCCTCGGGAGAGGCGGCGGCGGCCTGGGGCGAGACGGTGTTGTGTTGTGGGGACGCGGTGCTCTGGGGCGGCGCGGCGGGGATCTGCGGGCGGGCGGTGCTCTGCTGGTGGGGAGACGCGGGGGGCGTGCTCTCGCGGGGAGGAGTGGGGGGCGTGCTCTGGTGCGGCGAGGCGACGGGGTGCTGCGACGAGGTAGACGGCTTTGTGGACGAGACGTGGGTGCTGGCCGAGGACGCGGGCGTGTCTGGGTTGGACACGAGGAAGACTCTGCCGCTGTTGAAGGACAGCCCGTCGTCGCCGTGCGACTTTTCTTGGTCGAGCCCGCCGGACCACAGCGAGAAGTGTATCTCGCCGGCGGCGGTCAGGCCGTCGAGGGGCTGAGCCACCCATTGGTAGGTTCCTGGGTCAGCGGCGTTGTCTGATAACACATCCGCCGTCCCTAGTCAGCTTCTCCTGTCCCGCTCGTCGCAACGTGTGTGTGTGTGTGAGGGATAGACGCAGGCAAAAGCAAAGAAGGCAGTATGTCACATACTGAGAAGCACGTGCGAAGCATAGCCGCCTGTCCCGTCGCTCTGGAAGACGGCGAGCGAGACGTGGGCGTCGGCGCCCCAGCTGGCCGTGGTCCATGAGAGCGTGAACTGCCAGCCCGATAACACGTTGGTGTTTGTGTCGGGGGGCGGGTCGAAGAACTGCGCTTGCGCGACAAGGACAAGCGACAACAGGCAAGCGAGAGAAGCCAGATTAAACAACATCCTTCAGGCCGCAGCAGACTTATACGAGCCGTGGTAGAGAAGCGGCGGCGGCGGCAGCAGCAGCAGCAGCCTGACTGCTCGGTAGGGAAACATGGTAAAGAGGCACTGATATATGGGTACAAGTACAAGGGCTGTGAAAATGAGACGGCACAAAAGGGGGCAAGCCTGGGGCGACGAGGTTCGGGAAATGATGAGGCACGTAACGATGTATGTCAGCTTCAGCCTCACTTTGCAGAGCTGCGAGGTGGGAGGCACCGTCCGGTCGTGCATCGAACTAAGGTATCAAAACTGCCGTGACGGCCAATCACAGGCCAGGCGACAAAGCTGCATGCGGTCGTTATTAAGGCCCAGGCGTAGCAGTTCTAGTGTCGTCGATCAAAAATCAGATTGGTGCCTGGGTGAAAATAGGGATTGCTACCTGGATGGAGATGGGGGCAGGTTGGCGTGTGTGAGACAAGGCCGTAGGACGAGAAAGGGACAGCGTCGAGAACCGACTGGGGGAATTTGTCATCTCATTTCTTCTCCAAAACGTAGGTAGGTATGCAAAACATAAAAGCCCTCGGTGCTGCTTCCTTTAATCAGTCGCGGGTCCTGCCGCTCTTCCCAGAGTCAATTTACTCACCCCTTTCCTATCCTCCTTACTTCTCCTTACCCTGCCGAGTTGCCTCCCAATCCCAGCGCCGGAGGGCGAGGCTATCGGTACAAGAACCAGATGAAGCAAATCCAATGTTGGGTCCGAACTATAGCCAAAGAATAAATACTCAATCCGTCGCCTTGTCCTGGCTCTCGTCTTCACTGGGCTGCGCAGCCTTTTCCTTGCCGTCCTTCGCGTCTTGGACGGCCTGTGTTACCAGCTGTGCAAACTTGAAGCCACCTCGTTTGGGAGGAACCGCCTCGCTTTTGGAGCCTCCCGCGGTTGGAGCTGCCCAAGTCAGGTTCTCGTCGTCTGTCCTGTAGTGGCTCCTCTCGTTAAGTTTGGTGTGGTAGAGCGTGCCCGTCCCCTTGCGGCTGTTATCCCCGCCACCCCTGCGGAGGCTCGAGGACCTCTTGATGCGGTCAACTTCGGCCTCGAAGGCTTGGTCATAAATGTTAAAGTCGACGACGGTGGGCGAGTCCGAGATGATGTTGGCCTCAGGTGCCTCGCGCGAGAAATCGTCCATACCGCCCGTCCCAATGCCGAGCAGCAGGGTATCTATGCTGTCTGTCGTTATGGCCAGGTCGTGCATCGCCTGTCGCCCCCTTGAGCTGGCATTTGCGCCCGTGTTGCCTTTGAGCTTGAGAAAGTTCTCGCGCTCCATCAAGACACGCTTCGCATGATCGGCCGTGGAATCTGCTCCCTCCAACAATGGCTGTTCTTCCTTTTCGCCGCTCACAGCATCTGGTTGCGGTGTCGTATCCTTCTCCGGTTCGGTCGAAGACGGTGGTTCCTGGGTCGGTACCCCATCACCCTTGGGACCCAGAAGGCTCTTGAATTTCCTTATCGCTTTCACCTGATCATGTGTTAGAAAAACAGCCAGGGCTGGTGGCAGCGGTTACGTACCACGCAGAGGAGGTGGCTCATCCTCCGTGTAAAGGCGTGGTTAACTTCGAGCGCGTTGGGAAGATCAACAGGGTCAGAGCAGTTCTCTTCGGCACTGAGCAAAGGATCCTCGCCCCTCTTTGTCACCCAAGGGTGTTCCTATACGCTGGTTAGAACTTGTGGTGGCGCTTTTGTCACTAAATTCGGGGAAGAGCAGAAGCTTACCCTGAGCTCGGCCATCGTTATTCTCTTCTCTGGGTCTTTCTCCATTAGCCTCCCCATCAGGTCTACAAAATCGGCGTTTTCGTCGGAAGGTAACTGTGGCGTCTCGGTCTTGATCGCCTCATACATTTCGAGTACATTGTCTCTTTCAAATGGGAGCCTGCCATAGCGCAGGCAGTAGAGCGAGACTCCCATGGACCAGATGTCGGCTGCTTTGCCGGAGACATCCCCGTGTTTGGCGACGCACAGCTCGGGGGGGAGGAAAGCCGGGGAGCCGGCCGGCTTGGCGGTCCGCATCTCGTCAGTCTTTTCAAAGATCTCGGACACGCCAAAGTCGACAATCTTGAGAACGTCATCCCCGGTGAGAAGGAGGTTATCCGGCTTGATGTCGCGATGCACGACGCCTTGGGAATGAACTGGCACGGCGGCAGATGATGAGAATGACATTGCTTCTCGGAGAAGAGGGGGGACTCACGATACTCAATGCCCAGGATCAGATCCCGGAACCAGCAGCGGCATTCCTCCTCGGGATAGGGCTTTGACGGCTCGCCGAGTCCTATCTTCATGACGACGCCTTTCTTACACATCTCTAGCACCATGAACAGAGAGTCCTCTTCGGGGTCGTCGAGGACCTCGATGAGCTGCACGAGATTGGGGTGGTTGAGTTTCTTCATGATGGCGATCTCCTCGCGGATGAGGAAGAGAGCGTCCTGAGATTCGCGCGCCTTTTGGTCTGAGAAGCGCGTGTTGGCGGCATCGGGAGCACCGAAGCCTACGCGGGGAGGGAAGCCTCCAACGCCTCTAGGGCCTTGACGGAGGATGTTGGACTGCGCGCGCTTCCGGAGCCGTGATTTGGAGAAGGCTTTGACGGCCTGGCAAGGAACAAGCCGAGTTAGTTTCGAGCTTTGCTCCTTTCGTCCCGTTTGTTTGTCGCATTTAATTTTAAACATGTCAGCAGTCAGGGCGAGACAGAACGGAACTCACGAATTCATTGCCAAACTGGTCCGTGGCCAGGTAGACGGCGCCGTATGAGCCACGGCCAATCTCGTCCTTGAGGACGTACTGGTTGATGCAATGGTGGTACTGGCCGTCCAAGTCGTCGCTCATGTACTCGGACCGCGCATTGAGAGTTTCCTGAGATGAAAGCGTCAGCCTCAGCCAAGCAAGCCTTTACAACAGCGCGCGCACCGCCCTTGAGTGAGCCAAGTTGCAAAGACGGAGATAATTTTCATTCTCATCACACCTTTACTTCGCGATGCGCAGACGGCGTCCTCCTATGGTGTCGCATCGGGCTCTTGAACTGCTGGATGTGGGCGGGCGCAGAGTTTGGGCTGGGGCGCCGTTAACATACATGCGCATCATCAATTACGATGCCCAAGCAGATCAAAGTCGACGACATACTGGTCAGGCGCGGGAGGCAAGCCCGCATCGCCGTCTCCGTCGTGGAATTCAATTG